AGGGGTCTCAAGGTTTTCTCTGGGATTCTTCCTGTGGTGGTAGTTCCGAAAATCAGTGGCTTTGTTATGTTATTGGTGGGTGTCGGGTTATGTCTTCAAAAGAGCACTTCTAGAGAGTGATCTCTCAGGCGGACCCCACGCCCAGTAATAGCATAGAAGGGATAATGGTAATTTTATTAGGGTCCGCTATATTCCGATTATATCGCTATTACAGGGTGTGGGGTCCTCCGAATCTGTAGATGGTTGTGTTAAAGGGCTGTCTTCCCTGTCGAGCCTCTGACCTGATGGACACGGGTAGCCCGACGTAGGTGAAGTAACACACACGTGGTACTTGGTTGCGACTAAGGAACTTGAAAGGGTTTCCTCATTAGAGTAACGCTGAACGGCAACACAGGATAGCGGAGGTGACAGCATGCAAGCGGACACGGATCGTGTTGTGGCCTTGAACCCCCCCGGCCTCCAATCTAACTCTGATCCTCAAATCAGAATTCAAGCCCTTTGCGGATCTCAGACTTCAAAGCTAACAGCTATGCTTCACAATCCTGACCCCCCTACTCCCCCGTTTGATCCCTAAGTATGTCTGGTCTTTGAAGATAACCTTGATTTTCAAAATTTATATCCATTTTCCGACTAGCCAGAGCAAGATGCAAAACGAGGCTTTGAGATGTGTCCTAGCTGGCTGCTACCCGTGGCATCTGGACAGATTTGGGAGATTCTTCAAATTATCCGTATATAACACGTAGTAGAAACTCACGAAGTCCCTTTGTAATCCCAATTTTCTTTGGGGTCTCTGGGGTCGCTAACGATTTCAATCAGCGCCCCTTCTTGAATGAATCTCTAGGTATGAACTGCTCAGGAGGACAGTACAGGGGGCTAATGTATTGCTTGGTCGTAGAGACGAGATGCATGGCTGTGCCTCTTTGATGTGCTGTAAGTCTTTGGACTTGAAAACAAGTTAACTTTCCAGTTCACGGCTGTAGCTCCTGTGGTTACGTGGCCCCAAGGCTTCCGGTGCTAATGTCTGAAGAGTGTGTACTTCACAGTTGGAGTTCTTTTCAGTACGGGACCCTAAACCCTAAAACCTAAACAGTAGTTTCTAGCCGTATGGGAAGCAGGTCCTGGAGTCTTTCGTTGCACATAAGTTGACGTCTGGTGGCAATGCCTGATTGGACCAACTGTGGGAAGGCTTGAAGAAGCCAGATTCGTGCAGATGCAAAAGTCCACTTCCCTTAAACAAAAGAACAGTAGTTTCCATCTTCTTTTCCATAATCCCTATATATCCCCAATAGATTCTAGGGCTCAAATTTGAGTTTTGATATAACAGTGCCGGGCACCGCGTTTGTGTGCCTGAGAGATGAGGGACTGACCAGCAAATGCTTACATACCCCTTTGTAACCCTGGTACCAGGGGAGCTATGCTCCCTGGATCTTCCTGATCCCAAGATACTGCGGTTGATGTACTTGCCCACCTTCATGCAGGTATTAGATATCTGCGCTAGGGACCCTATGCAGAAACATAGAAGGCGCTTGGTATTCGGGGGGGACGAGGTTAAAGCGTGATGATGGTGCTGATCATGATGAGGATGAACAAGTAGACTGGAATGACTCGGACAGCTTCTGCCAGTGTTCCGAATGGAGTTATGATTACGATCAACATTATCTTGCTGGTGTTTATTAGGGAATAAGGGAATATAATCCCTATACAACATCTTGCCTTATTTCCTACTAACCTACAGTAAGTTGCTGGAGTGTTATTTGTGGACGGCTGATTGACTCTGAGGTCCTTCTCTGGGTCCGGGGGTTGGCGAGCTCCTGCCCTCCTGGAAAATGTCCAGAGGCGACGGAGAACGCAAAGGACATGGGAGGTTACGGGTGCGCAATTTTTTGTGGCAGTTTTAGGCGAGTATATGAAGTGTGTTTCCAGGTACATGCGCACACACATACATACAGACACACACACACACACACGACAAAATTGGCGTCTCCTCCTGCGGTCAAAATCACGTAGTAGGTGCTTTCCTGGTGTTCGAAGGGGAGCCAGTGGTCAGGCAAGAGGCTTGAGTTTTTGAAGCCTGTGGGTCATCAACTTGGGGTTTTCCCAAAAGTACTGTAGGGGTACCATATTGAGGGGTCCCCATAATGAGGACTATGGTATTTGGGGGTCTATACTGGGGTCCCCCTATTTTGGGAAACCTCCACCTCTTTTCGGGGCTGCGGTTTAGGGTTTAGGGCTTAGGGTTTAGGGTAGGGGTAATGGAAATTACAGTGGAAGCTACTGTTTAGAGTTTAGGGTTTAGGGTTCTATAGGGATAATGGACAAGAAAATGGAAGCTACTACATTATGATAGGGTATATACTGGGGTTATAGTAGAGCATGTGTGTTGCTGGTTTGCCGACTCCAGAAAGGCAATGAAGTGATTGGAGAGAACGCAATTCAAGCAAGGAGCAAGAGGAAGAACACAAATTAATACGCACTGTTTGAAATCTAGGTCCTGCAGCTGATAAGATTTCGAGATTCAACGTTAAAGTGTCATCCAGGTAGTCTTATCATGCAACACTACCTTCTTCTTTTTCCAGGGCAATAGCAAACACGGTTGGTGCGTTTTAGGTACTTCTCAGGGGGCGGTTTCGAAGCAGTTAACGACCCGGCAATTTGACTCTCGCCAGGACGCTGAGCCTAGCTTGCTGCAACTCCACCACGAGGGCAAGTCTGGGCTCCATGGTGGTAATGAAAACATGTAGCTGTTTCTAGGAGGTTCGCAGAATTCGATAGGCATGAGCACAGGATTCTCCTATGTTGTTGCACAAATTCTACAGCTTTCAACCAGGGTCATCAGGGATCTTACACCGTGTGCATGCAGCCCAAGTGTGTGCCCGCAAGTGCAGTCACGAAAGCTAGCTCCTTGGAG